GAATATTCTAAACTAAACGCAAGAAATCCAACTTCCCGATAGTATTCTAAATGGCAAGAAAACGAATGCGTTTTTAATCGTTTAATAAGTAAATTTACTGTTGGAATTGGCACCTTCTTGCTGTTAATTGTAGGTCTTCTTTTTTAATTTCAACCCGTACCCCCCCCCCCCCCCATCGTCATCGTAATCACCATCAAGATCCTATCAAACGCTTATGAGCAGAATTTCAAATTTAGCGTTATTCGACATTCCTCGAACTTAAATTCTAGCTCGACTATGTAATTCTCTTTCAAGGAAATGCCCGAGCAAATCGCAGTTGTTTTGCCACACTAACTTCGCCGCTCTACTCTTCGCTCGTATATTTTATCGCGAAGGCATATGTACATGGGGACAAGCATCGACACGGTGTGAAAATTTGGCCTATACGCAAAGGAAGACTCAAGAGTGAGTCTTCCATGCCCCTTTCCTTGTCACGGCTGGCATGCTACAAGAAGGTTGCGATTATGTGCATGTGGCCGTGCACTACCTTGAATGCGAGGCGAGCAATAGAAAATCATTATGATCAGTCTACGATGAAGCTCGTAAACCTGATACAAGTTAAGACCACACAAGGACTCAGGTCATCGGTTCTCAAACATCCTCGCTCTTATATGCGGGCGATCGAAACGTTTCGAGGAAAAGTAACACCGTTAATCACTGTCTGAAATACCCGCACGTATTTGTTTGTTGATTACAAACTTTCTTAGGAATACTGACAACCATATGTATATGTGAAATGAAGAAACCTTATAATAATACACTTTGCTCTTACTGGCCGACCTATTGGGAAATATGTTATCTAAATTTTAGGCTCGGCAAGTTTGTAGAACAGCTCATTGTACTGTTACATTTGTTCCGTAAGATTAGTTGGAGACTGTTTTATCTGTAAATCCATCAGCTATCTCAACAAGAACACATCTACACATGCTTTGAAATCTGTGTAATATCTGTTGTCGTCATAGTATTGGTAACAGCCAATATTTGGAAGTTTTGCTTTGTGTCTACTTGGCGTCCATTCGGTTTTCAGTTTGAGAAAAAAAAAAAAGCCTTTTATTGCCTATAGCGTTGTCGAGAAAACTTATTTATTTGTACTACTGTTCTGCAACCGGCACTAGGAAGCGGTTGCAGGACAGGCAGCATTGGCTGGTAGTTGTAAGAGTAGCAATCTTCTTCAGTCGAAGTGGGCACGTATGCTACTGAAAGCCTGGCCTACGTTTAATGCTTCTATCCCATGGGGTTGCTCGTTTAAAAAAGACCCACTCGAGGCTGGCTGTCTTTACCTGACGTTAGTCTTTTTTTGCTTTTCACAACCGTCCTGTAGAGCACCTTTTTTCCATGGCCTTAACGCTGGGGCACGGCTGCATCGGAAGGATAGCAGCTCTCGAGTGGCCTAGTCTCAAAATCCGTTAGCTCAGCTTGGCTTAACTTATCAAACCAACCCCACTGCTCAGCACCTTCGAGCACGCTGTGTTATTACACAACACTTTTACAACGATTTCTAAAACGTAACTTCTATACTGTAGTAAGTTTCTTTTATTATACAGAATGAGTTTCTTTTCTGAGGGTCGTCGAGTGGCGAAAACCAAGTAATACAACTGATTTATAGCTTTTGTCTCGTAGCAGTTCGTTGATAAGATAAAATGAAAATAAGATAAGAACTTAGTTTTGGAAGAATTGATTTATTTCGAACTATTCGCTGTTATCAAAATACTAAAAGCCTATTCTGGCCCAGCACAACGATGCAAGGCCACGGAACTGCCAATTTAAACTCATTAAAATATGCATTACTCCAAAATGCTTTCGTAGCTTCACGTTGATTAAGCAAGTGATCCAGTAACTAAGTTTATTTACATTTATTATGAGAGATTTGATAGTACTTGCAAGGCTGCTTCGCGGTTGTAACGCAGGCTACGGCTGGCAGAAAGCAACAGTCCTTCGGTTAAATAGTAATAATTATAAAAACTGTTTGTTTGGTAGACAATGCATGCGAAACATATCAAACGATAATGTACGCTACAAACTACTTGTATAATGAAAATAAATTATGTTGTGATTTGCTATAGTTATTAACTATTTCATACGAGTGTTAAAAGTAACTTTGTAAATAATTCTGGTTCTATGAACTTCATAAACCTGGCCTGCTGACGCTGAAATTCACTTCAAAAGAAGATGTCGCAGAGGACCTGGTAACATCTGCAATCCGATAATCACACACCGAGTCGGTACTCAATACTTGAAATGTTCATATCTATTTATTAAGCTACTAAACTTCGCGTTCGTTCTTTCTTTCTTTCTTAATTAATTAATTGACCCTTGAAGTCGTCGGATTGGGCTGATTTTTGACGGACTGCTAGAGCTTCATCCTGTCAAGCGTAACGAGCTGATTGGGCGAATAGTTTCGCCGGGAAGAGTTTGTTTTAGCGTCCCAGAGTAAGAAATGTTTACTTTGCAAACTATACGTTGTTTATAATGTCCGCCCCTTTTTGCGCAGGTTTTTTGCAGCACTTTTTATACATGCTTATAAGAAAGTTAGGTGGGCTATATTCTAGTAGGGCTTTCGTAGAAAAACATTTCCAATGACAAAATAGTAGCCGAACATTCGTATGGAGCTCTACACAGAATGGCTTGCTCCTGGAAAGCTCTTGCCGGGCTAAGTCGAAAAGCAATACGTAGAGTAGATATTTCAGCGGGAAAATGGTATAGTTAAAAACCCGATGAAAGGTTCGCCTTGACCATTTCCACGCAGGGGAGGCGGGGGTTGAAACTGCGTTTTAGGGGTCTCCTTTGAGTGCTTTTTTAAACCAGTTTGTAATAAAAAGTGTCTGTTAAAAAGTTGTATCATTTCTGATGCGGCAAACATTTCAGTGGAATTTTTTTTAAATATTCTTTCAGCGATTTATTGAAGAAAATACCCAAATACCAAAGCAAGAGCACATTGTTGACGCCGGCCCTTTACACTCCAATGGAGAGATTTTGAGCTCAACAAATTCAATAGATGTTCGTGTGCCTACCCTTAAGTCTTCGACTCAAAAATGCCGTTTGAAGGCCGAAAAACCTAACATTGTGCTTTATGCAAGGATGGTTTCCTTTGTAGTTAACCCACAATTTCGACTACCCGAATAAAAATACAATATCCCTACCCGATATTTTTGGGTGAAAATTGCGAAAACCCTATTGGTCGAATGGGTTGGCCTGCGTAACAGAGGAGTGATGAAACAGAACCAATATGTTAGTCGACTTTGTCAATCGTAACGTACATTAAAAATCGACCGAAGACCGATTTAAGTCATTTTTATCCCTCACATACCATCGAACGGCCGACCTCTTCACGTGCATCTTGGAAGTACAATAACCCAGTTATTGATCCCAAGCCATGAGAAAAAAACCTACCTGGTGTTTTAGAAAGCAGAGGACGTATTTGGTTCATTATTTTTAATCTATCCTTTTTCAATAGGTAAATAATTGTTTATTGAACTCAAATGTAATGTCAGCTAAGCCCAAGTAACACACATTTCTGAAAATGAGCTACTTAAGCTCAAAGATTTTTCAACTTTGACAGTACGCATTATTGTTACTATTATTACTCTTATTTCAGATAAAGTATATCAGTATTTCTATGCATTTAGATATGTAGAACTTACAATAGTTATAATGCGTAATTTCGAAGTATGCGAACAACCAATATTGTGCCCTACTGGGCGTAGGGTGTCGTACAGGGGGCAGTTGCATTTTTGCCCTACTTCTGAGCGATCTCCTAACTGTTGGATGCAATAACAGCTAGAAAAATCGTTAGAAAGGTTGAAGCTTTTCGTACCTGGCACTTTAGAGGCTCATCTAAGCGGTATGCCGGGTTGAGCCTCTCGTTCTGCCTAAGATGCAACACAGACCCTTTCTATTCTTAAACCTGTTCGACTTCGGTGCTCATCAATAACAAGAGCTCAATGCATCTACTAATAACAGTTTCTCCGACAACCCCCCAACCCAAGCAGAAGTCTTATAAGGAGACCGCATGTTCTTTGCATCTAATGTGTGCGCACCGTTTTCGATATTCATGATGCATATGGAAATTTTCAAACATTTCAAGCGTAAAAAAAAGTTAATTACTACACCTTCTACCGCTTGTCAAGGTTTAATAACAGCTTAATAGCCATTTACAACCCGATACCAGCTGCATAGGCAGAATTCAATAAAGGTGAAAGCTAAAAAGTACTGAATTTCACAAAAACATCATTCTACATCGATGAAGTCTAGGAATTGTCTATAAATTAAAACAGGTAGCGTGTTTAACCGCAAAACACAGGCACAACCATGTTTAAAAAAAAACTCATAAATAAATTAATTAGCAAGATCTGCCACAGGAAAGAAAAACTAAAATTACTGTTCATTTAAATGTTAGATGCAGAATGTATAGATATGTTTCTAGCGCATTGCATTAAGCTAGGTAACCGAGCTCTGAACGGTTTTTCATCATATTTCTGTTTTCCAAAATATCGTTGTTTGTTGCGCAAGTTTGTACCATCGTCGGTGTTGCAGTATTAACTAAAAAAAAACGTAGCCACAAGTCAAAGCTGTCAAGCTACAACCAGTCGCTACGGGCGCTCTATGAAACAAAGACTTAGACTATGTGAGTAAACAATGGGCAATATCTCGCAGAAATTTAGCCGTGTATTGCAAGTTGGTCTTATCGACTACGTATTTTACTCAACGATTGCTGAAACTTGAAAATCGATGCTTGCACTTAGGTCTTAGTAAATTTAGATTTAAAATGTCATAATTTTTTCTTAGAAGATTACTGCAAACGTGAGCAACTTCATAGATCAATCATTCTTAGCATTAAATCTGCAAAATATCGAGTCTGGCGTAAAATTGGGCATATTGATCGTATAAATATTATTCTATAGAGGTAAATATTTACATTTCGCCATACAAAACAACATTGTTCGACTTTCAGTCGTCGTATACAGACAACTCTGCCATAGGATAGCTTAAAAACTGATTTAATTCGCGCGCAGTTCTCTACTAGCCTGCAGAGGAACACTTCGTAGTAATATTTGGACCCTTTGTGCATCTTGATTCAATGTTACCTAATCGAAATTCAACTGATTCTCTCCTATTTAACACAGGGGGACGCCTATGACAGAAAGGGAAGGAAAAAGCGCCTAGCTTCTTTGTTGTCTGCTTGTAGATAAAGGGCAGGACGTCAGCCAGTGATCCGACCGGCGCTAGTACCCTGTAAAGTGAGTCAAAAACACTGCTTTTTTAACACAGTTTGGCTCTCCATGTCATTCATCCCACTGACGTTTTCTGTGCAAAAAGCAGGGAACGGTTTTCCTAATACTCGTATTTTTTTAAATTTATTCATTCCTATATGATTCTATTTCTCCCCATGTATGAAAAGCACCTTCAGTTGCCAGCCTCTCAATAGCCTCGTAGTACGGAAATGCTCTACGGAGCGTAAGAAGGCGTTTCGGAGGTTTATCCCGCCTGTGCTATATGGTACAGATACGTGCACTGGCATGTTTTGCTCTGCAAATCCATCAGAGCCGTTTTCCAGAGTGAGAGATGCTTAGATATCTAATTGGCAGAGGAAGCTGGGTCAAAGTCCGTTGAGCTTTCACCAACTTACACTGCATCTCGGAATTAAATCAAAGTATAAAGGTCATTGCCTGTGCTTTTCGTCTTTTTAGGCCATGTGCTCTCATGCGGTTCTTACGTTTTTTTGAGCACGACGTACTTGTGGCAGCAGTAAAAACGCTATGCCGGTAGAGCTATTTGCAGCGCTGGAAACAGTCGACGGATCAAAAAACTGAGAGAAAAGGCAAGGAAAAAAGGATACAAAGTGAAATAATTCATAGCAAAGCCAAGCTCTTCGCTGAAATGTCTGAGCGGGCTTGAAATTCTGGGAAAAGTATCCTCTCCTGCGGCCAGTGACGTTCCGGCTACTCCCATCGGCTGCCTCAGTTCCTGCCTCAGTCTTGTACGGATCCCATCCGATGCTGCTATGCTGCTGTCCCTTATTTCTCCCACTCTTCTGCTGCTGCTGCTACTACTGCGGCCTAGCCTCGTTTGTCACTGTTATGGTCAAAGCTGTTGTGGCAACGGTGGAGGGGGGACTCCTCCGGTGGTAGTGGGATCTTCATTGCTTTCTTCGTCCGCTCTGAACTCGGCTGATCCTTCTTTGAGTTGTCGGCCTTTATAGAACGAGTAGGGTACCGTAGAGAAACTAAGGACTGCAGTTACCTGTCTCTCGTTTCAGAGGCACGTTGCCTTCGCCATTCCCCTATTTCCCAAGCCGCAGCCCCTTGTGACGAAGCTCGTCTTGACATTCGGCTCAGCGAACGTCTCGTCTTCCCCTCCGGCACTAGTGAGACGCTGCTCCATGGTGCTGGCGGGGCGGCGACAACGAGCGATGGCAGGCGGGAATCCGTCACCTCATTGTTGGTGAGCGATTTATAGATGGTGCTCTAAGGAGAAGGTTTCCATTTTTTTTTTTGTTTACCATAAAGAATTGTAGAGCCGAGGCTATAGTCGGCTTCTGGTTATGCTTCATGTTTAGAAATGTAGCGGAATAATAGAAACCCTTACATTCGAATGTATTAGTTGTTGATCATCACAAATGCTGCACAAAAAGGTGACATGGGGGGCATAAACGTAGGAAACCTAAACGTAAGTATACTACAAGGTATTTATAAACGTTAAATAGGTGTAGAGATACCGGATACACGGTAGCTGTTTCTACATCTTTGAGAAGCACGTACATTTACTGGAATCGAATCCTGCACAGTGCAAAGAGAATGTTACGATTGTGTATGTATCGTGCTATACTTTACTTGTTACGTTCGCGCCCTGTTAACAAATGTGCTCGATCTCTTAGCGAGAAACGGCATAGAGTATCGCGTGAAAAAAATTTGTTTGTGTATGTTGCTATGTTGCTAACAACATACACCATAGTCTCTATTCAACATCTCACGTGTTTACATTCGGTTAACTCTAGATGAGCTTTTATCAAAACAATGAGCCGAAGTATATCTGTTATGTATCGATCCTTCAAGTTAGTACCTCTTTCGATTCAGGCGGAACGCGACGCGAGTTTCAAGACAGAGTAAAAGGTGTTGAAATGAGACGACTGCTATGAGTTGGGTTGGCTAATACCGTATTGTTAAATGTTAAAAATCTTTTTTTAAAGCAGATGAGATTTTCAGCAATAGTCAATTGTTTATTTATAACGCCTGCAAGGCAAACGTTATTACTAATTGTATCTAGTTCATATCAAAACAAACTATTTTTCATATGCCGAAACGATTATCTGCTTTGTAGTGCACTAGAAGAGAAATGAATAATGCAAAAAAAAAAAAAGAATTTTATCAATTAAGGTTAAGCAAAGACCACATCACAGTGTTACATGTACGCTAACATTAATAAATAATTAGAAGATATACATGGACAGAGTATTGGAACTTCACACGCATTTTCGCACTTCGACCAAAAGGAAGATTTGTATTACTAATCAGATAATAGTAAGTTACTAAGTAGTAGTATGGAGGTTATACCAAATTCTAAATACTGACAAATAGATTCTAAATTAATCGCGTACGTACGAATTAATTCGGTATCGCACTTGCAAATTTGTTAACAGCATAATTTATTATATTTCGTAGTTGTTGAATTGCAGAAAGTGTAGGTGAGGTTCGCTATGCTATGTCGTGCGTACATTTAACGTGACGACGCTATGCTTCGACGTGTAAGACGCGGATTACTTCGAATGATTTTGTATGCATTGAATCGAATTTTCGAAAATAATTCGAAATTTCATATCAATTTGTTACGGGCTCTTTACTTCCATTGTTAAATTTGTTTACTATATCCCATCATTAGCTAACGTTCATCATGTTCAGTGCCATGATTAAATAGATTTGTTGTTTTTGATCTTTGTTTGAAGAGTCCGCTTAATCTCATTCGTTCTTCACACGTCGGTACTTTACAGAACTAATTTTTATATAATGAATATATATAATTTAAAGCCTAGTGGATAGGACAGCGTGTGCAAGCAAACACAGGGGCCGATACGTTTCTCATAACGTAGAATAAATGTCTCTGATTTTCACAAAGTACGTAATTATTGCGATTTCGAGTTAGATTAGGGAAATCGCTAAGTAGTACATGTTCTCCATGATGTTCGTAAGAAACAAACTTCTCCGCAACTCTAATTGACTGAGTTATAACTATCAATTTTCAACAACACGTGGCTTTGTCGATAAGTTGAGTCTACTTCCGTCAGAATTAATGGCATAGATGTTTTTACTGTAATGTATCACAAACTCATATGTAAGATAGGTAGATTGATTTACGTTTAGTGATCTTTTGCAGTCTTTCTGTACTGATTAGAATAGAGCTCTACCAAAGACATCATAATCGATAACATCATTTTCCCAACTTTTTTTTGTTAGTATGGCCTACCGATACGATAATACTTTCTGCGGGCAGGCAGTAAGTGGCATATAGCACCAAGCCTTTCTACGCGGCTTCAACTTGGTTACAACTAAGAAGGTTTTAGTAGTTGAACCTTTTCTGTTTTATTTTCACGAAGGTTTTTGGCTTGCCTGCGGGGAATATAGGTCAAAACCTAGCATCAAACGTTTTCTACTTAGCAAACGCCTCTAATACTAATAAATGTTTCGTACTTGTCGAAATCTGCGCAGGTATGAAAAGAATTATCGAGAACAACAGTGAAAGATTCGATTGGCTTATTCTACTGTCTGGACAGAAGATCGTTCACTATAGAATCATATATAATCTTCACTTCGACAGACGATTACCTAACATGACAAGTGTGCTTTCACTCATTGAATTGTTGCTCGTTTAATTTGTAAATAGACTTATGTCTAATACGCATTCTGGAAGTAAGAAAATCAATTACTCTACGATAATTAAGGAACTTAGCTTCATAGGACTACTTCGAGACAGATATTAATATGGCTTCATTTACTGGGCCCAGGCTGGAATCAACCGTACATGAACAAAGTGATCTATGCTAGCTTCCAACATGTGACGTGCTTTTCCAATCTGTCTATTTTATCGTTAGTTCTATGATTTATTTTCGAGCTAGTAATGATTAAAGAAAACCGTATTCAAGTGTGACTAGCTAGCAACTTCTGAGCATATCATTTTTATGCACGGTAGATTGATAGTATGACATTTGGACAATAAGCTTCGGCGAAAAGCGCCGTATCGGCCATTCGATGATTAGGGAGAAAATCCGGTCGTATAAAAAGTACATGGGATTTGGGCGACTGGAAAAGAAATAAGGCGCGGATCTGAAGTCCAGATCCGGAAGAATTCACTGTTCGTGGAAGTGTTTGCTTACAAAGTTGATCCTATAAATAACACGAGAATTGCACACTTTCAAAAGCCAGCAGTGAAGAGATAATATTACACCATTAATACGCTCCTGTGGCAGTCTCGCATCCATTATGATGGAACAGTCTATGTTATTACAATGTTTTCACAATGAGGAAAGTAGTTGTGTTGAAAACGTTGTAGCTGTTAATATACCGTTCCGGCGTGCTTCCTACCACACCGTTTCTGTTCGGACCCATTTCAGTATTGACGTATATTTGATTGGCTATTCCACAGCGCTTGTTAGCTACGTACGTTCGTAACGTTGGCGGTATTCATTTAGCTTTCGTTTTCTTTCATAAAATCGTCAAACACGGGTAAACTATATTCCCCAGCTGTACAGTCTGTCCATCCTATTTTGTTATTACATTCGAAACATTCGATGTGACCTAGACCCAGTTGTTCGTCATGGGGGCTAAAGCTAAAAACTCTCTCAAGATGTTCCATACTTCTATATAGATTAATTTTCCGTTGCACAAATGCCCTCTTTTTTATATACCTGTTTAGGAAAAATACAGGCTATTGCCTCTGCACTACATACGAGTGACATAGTAAAGCCGATATGAAGACAGCGCCAGAAGAGTATTAGGAGAGATAAGGTAAAAAATATGTAACACTAACGTCGTATTTAAGTGAATATTTAAGCATGCTCTGCAAGAGTCTTCAACCGAACGCAGAACCCATTTAGCCGTTCAAAATAAGCGCATAATAAGGAACTTCGACACTGGTAGGATGGACAGACTGTACAGATGGGGAATATAGTTTACCCGTGTTTGACGACTTTATGAAAGAAAACGAAAGCTAAATGAATACCGCCAACGTTACGAACGTACGTAGCTAACAAGCGCTGTGGAATAGCCAATCAAATATACGTCAATACTGAAATGGGTCCGAACAGAAACGCCGGAACGGTATATTAACAGCTACGTTTTCAACACAACTACTTTCCTCATTGTGAAGACCGAATAGCGCAGGTCAGCTACCGATGCACACAGCATGGTCTATTTTGCCACCCGTTTCTGATTAAGAGCACCTGGCCGAAGGATGGGGGCTAGGAGCTCGTCTCTCCCAGCCGTTGCTGCCCACAGAAGCAACGTATGTAATACTATCAGAGTCGTCATGAAAGAAAATAGACGTAATTCCGAGACGCATCCCTGTTCCAGGCAACTCGGAAGAACGTATCGTTGTTTCTGGCACAGACGAAGTGATCGAAGGCTACGAGCTAAATGACAGTTTGTCCTTAGCGCCTAAATATGCTCCGCCTTACGCCGTTCGATGTACATACCTATGAGTGAGTGCGATGGGACGTTCCATCAACACAAAAGAGACGTTGTGAAAGAGCGATTGTTTAGAAAGTGTATAAAGTACATTGTGAAATGATGTACCGATTCAAAGTGTGCCAATGCAGCGCATGACTTTGGATCAGAACGGGTCCTGAGTACTTTGGGCCGATCGTTAAAGGCATATAATTTTGGTAAATTCATTTTTTTTTTACACATTAGATTTTCTCTAGAAGTTGATGCTTTCTGAAAGAATGAATTTGAAGAACTTACCAGCTGTGCTTGTAATAGCATCTGCGTCGAATATGTATAATTTTCAGCCTTCGATACAATAAAAAAGGTTGTGCGCAAAGCATTGCTTTCTGGAAGCGGTAGATGCGACAAAGGAAAGTTACAATTTAGGGCTCGTAATGATGAGCTTAATGGCCCTGGTGTGAAAACCTTTATTCTTTTATAAATTACATTACATAACAATTCGCTGGTTCCTGAGTAATCAACCGCAACTCGTACTGAGAACAACAGGTAGGGGATGGCCTATGACATCTTGGTATGTCACTGAAGTTAAAAAGGTTGAACATCTCTACTTGTTTTTGACCAGTTACAAAGAATGTAGGTATATTCATTAGCCATTGTGTACAGCAAACCTGTCAGCTGTTGAAGTGTCGTTGGACTTCGCCACTGCTAGAATGGCTATATCGGACAGACTGTACAGCTGAGGAATATAGTTAACCTGTATTCGACGATTTTATGCAAGAAATGTCTACAAATCAGTTGTCCATCGAAGACTAAAAAGTGATCCTTTTTGTCCTTAGGACAGTGTTCTCGATCGCGCTCATTTTTTTCACTTTCTCTGTTCTGTTCTAGTTGGCTGTCCATATATCTTCTCCATGGCTTGTGAAAATTGACCTCCACGTAACGTACCCCATTGAACGTAGATATGTTGAGACATATAACATTATTGTCCTAAAAAACGGATATTTCTTGTATTATTTTTTGTGGTTAAACTTAATTGTTACAGTTACCATGCGTTCTAACATCGCATCACATCCGTCAGTAGCTTGTATTGGTGCTGGCCTGTTATCAATGAAAGCGGCGCACACATATTTTCTGAAATTATAGGCCTTGTAATGTTCGTAGGCAACAAGGAAATTATAAAAGCAAGCAAGTATAAACGTCTATTATAAGTGAAAATTGATATTAGCTGCATTTAACGAGGGCCTGGTACTAATGCATGCCTCCGCTAGATGCAAAGGTACCTGCCCTTGAATTAGCGAAGTTTCTGCCTGTTTAATCTGGAAATTAACAATACATGAATGTCTAACAGAAAAGAGCAGCTAAGGCTTATCGTATAATTGGATAAATAAGGTCTATGGGTGAGATAAGGCAGATTGAGCCTACTTAAGACGGTGCGAGTGGGCGAGCAGAGATCCTCACATTACCAGCACTGCAATACCTAGTTTGCCTTATAGCTCCTGTCGCTGTTGTTACTATTACTTGTGCTTTTATAAAAGAATTCTCCAGTGGGACGCATCGTTTCCCTTAGCAAACGAGCACATCCGGGCCATCGCCTGCTGATCACTCAATCAGCAGACGCCGCGGGCATGTCCTCCGCAAGACCACCATGGTGAATAGATTTGAAAGAAAACAAGACACGTTAGTAACATCGATTTGACATAGCTGGGTGCTATCCGATCTTCATCCTCATTTTCGGTTTTTGTTTCTTCTAAAATTTTCGCGCACCATCTTAATTACGACAACGAACAAAGACATTCTCTTTGTACACTGCTCCACGAGCCGCTATTTCATAAGCAGTACTCGCAGGAAAAAGCAAAGAATGAGGCAGTCATTTTATTTGATTTTCCTTTATTTGGCGATTTCATATTTTGCAGCTTCCCGAGCCTAAAAAAGTCGAGATACTCTGAAACAAACTAACATTTATGTGATCAAATTGGTAACTAAATTGATAAGAAGAAGCGGCATAGTTTGGATGGTTATATGCATCTATCTACTAAAGTCTTTATTTACTATCTATTTAATGGATTAGGTGTTAGCCTCGACAGTTGCCTTTAGTGCCGTTGTATAGGTCTGTTGGTGAAATCTCAGGTAACAAAGTCCGTTTTTTTGAGCTGGATCTTCCCAACGATGCCATATCGGAGATGTGATTCCGAGGGCTTCTTTACATAATGAAGCTAGCCGAAAACTATAAAGAAAAAAAAGCCTAAAGACAGGCAGGACTAATTATAGGATGGATTACGTAGCTTATTCGTTGGCACAAAGCAAACAGAGCCTCACGTGTGAAAGGGTTTTACGGTTGAGCTACGATACCACGTTGCGCACAAGCAGTCCCTTTAAAGACGTCTGCTGGATTAGACGCCAGCTCGTCTGCTCAGCCACCTTTCAGCGACTCCCTAAGTGACTTTGTACTTTCTCGATTGCTATCTCCTTAGTAAATCGCTTTTAATTTCCTGACTGTATAATTGTACACCCCACGTCCAACGATTTTCAACGAAATACGGTCGAAACACTCCGATATGCATATGCAGTTTCTAGCTGACAATTACGTGATGTAAAATTACAACTTCCTTTTCTCTCTCTCTCTCTCTCTCTATCTATCTATCTATCTGATTGCGCGCGGATTATTGTCGTGGTTGAGCGTATCAAACTTCCGCCAATGACTAGATTCGAAGTAATTGCGCACCTTATAGAAAGTTCATAGTGGAAAACTGCTATTGATGTAAAGAATCTACGATAATACCTTTTTTACCTTGTTGTCTATCTTACGAACGCGTCACTGTTGTGTCTGCTTTAAAAGTTGACGGCGTATTACTTCCTTCGTAACCTTTAGACAACCTGCCAAAACTCTGTATATATTAAAAATCTGTTAAAATCGTGACTATGGTCACATCACACTCGCAATACAACTGCAAATCATCCCTAATTTGTATATTTATCCGTATCGTGGATGTTCCCGTACACAAAGTGACCGAAAATTATTGGTCTGAGTAATCGTGGAAATTCTTACGCTTGTTAACTTCAGCTTAGCATTTAATAACTTGGCCATTGATGTGGTAACTTAGAGACTATTACATTACTATAAATTAATATGCAGTGTTAATGTAAAGCCATGTTTGGCAGAAAGTGAAGCACGAAGTACCTTTACGGTTGATTGCCAAAAGTTAACCGAGATGATTTAGTTAATACGAATGAATAAATTGCTTAAGTTAATTAA